TTTTGAAGAACTCTCAAATAACTTCCGAATTCATCATCCGATCTTTACAACAATTTTAGAGCTTATATATTCCAAAATTCAGGCAAATCAATTGGGGAAGAAGTGAGGCAGCTGCCTAAAAACAAGTTCAATTCTCTTGAGCTGCGCCTAAGATACCTTTGAATAACTGCCATATACCCTTACTCAGCCACTTTCAATCTATGTAGGGTATAAATATAGAATACGAAACGACATACGAGCTGTAGGGGTTGGGGGCGGGGGGCGGGAGGAGGCTTAACCCGACCATGGGAACTAAGCACCGTACAATTTTTAATTGTCTCGTAAGCTGACAGGCATTAATAAGCGACATTAGTCTCGATTTATAAAACTAGAACCCAATGAAATCATATTCTAAATTGCATTGATTGAACAAACGAATCCATTAGATCATTATTTGCAGGCCCCAACGCCAGACACTGGGTGAGTTATAGGCGAGCACATGATTACGATTATGTCATATGCCTTTGGGGCTGTTTGGCACGACGATTATTTATCGGGCGGCCGCTTGGGGTCACCCAATTAGACAACGTTTTGCATATCAGTTGAAAACGAGTTCAATTAAAGTGATATTTCAAAAATTTCGAATTTTTAATTTCCATTCCAGTTTGCATTGGTCGATCAACAGCTGGCGGCATAATATCTCGACTGAATCATCATCTAGTTATTAAATTGTCAAATATGAATGTTTAATTAAGCGAAGCTTTAGGGCGGTTTTGATAAAGGGAATTGAGAGTAAGTCTAGGCATATATTTACTCTATTTGCGAACGGAAGACCGTTAGATTATGGAAGATATCTTCACATGCTTTATCTCGTTCCCTTAAATATGAATGTTTAATTAAGCGAAGCTTTAGGGCGGTTTTGATAAAGGGATTTTAGAGTTTGTCTAAGCATATCTTCACTACGGAAGAACGGAAGATTATGGAAGTTATCTACCATAAGTTAATGCTTTATCTCGTTGCCCGGCGATTCCTGGTAATATCTGCTGTAGAATTTGGCTGACATTCTTGTTTAATCCATGTCTAATTTGTTTTAACTCTGTGTTCATGTTCCACCGATTTCTGATCCTTGAATTGAATTCCAAATCTTCCTTCTCAACTCTCATGCGTATCTTTGCTTTATTCATCATCGATCGTTGATCATTTCTGCTCTATATATTTCCAGCTGATATCAGATATTCTAAGGGTAATATAACTCCCTTATATTTAGCATATCGAATATAGAACTACCCTGCCTTCACTTATCATGCCACCAGAGATCGCTTTTTCCTCAAAGATCAGTCACTGTTCAAAGTGATCATAAGTCTGCATCATCTAGTCATCAGTTTGTCTTTCATCTTTCCAACTGTCTAGCCGCTAATTGTTAAATGGGTCTGTTTGAAACACTTCATTTTCATGTTTACGAGCGTCAGTTGGCGGGCTAATTGGGGCTTTCCTTTCACAGTGAGGCCTAGAAAATATATATGTTAGTTGTTCTTTTTTTGTAGGCGTTGCCTCTGCAGAATTTTAATTAGCTGGAAGTTTTGAGGCTTGAAGCTGAGTTACTAATAATAATAATTCTGTGGAAACTGAGTTGCTGATTGCGTTGGTTGTTCGCTTATCAGAGATGCCACATGACAGATAATTCGAGACATGCGCCACGACACGACGATGATGACGATGATGCAAGGCAATATAGTTATAAATAAATAAAGTCATTTATTTTTGTAAAAAACTTTATTTAATCTACAATTGCTGGCAAAAGTATCTACTGGGCTTTAACTCTAATTAGGCTAATCGGACACCTCTAGACGCCTTTTGGGCGGCACGCCCTGAACTTGCATGCAAAGCGGCGCCACTTGAACTTTAGCCACGAGTTCAGCGTTCCGCTGGGACTGAGACTCTGGGCGGCACACCCAGACGACCAGAGCGAGGGTAACTTTTGAGCCAAGAGCTGTGGCAGGAGTTAAAGCAAAAACATGGGCCAAGTGCATGGAAAAAACGCACAACTTGTCAGACGGCAAAACGAAAAGAAGAAGAACTAGAGGAGGAGACAGGCAGACGAAGCGGTAAAACAGCTACAGTCAACGCTCGAGTGCATTTTCCGGGCCAACAGCGGAACAACAACAACAATAACAACAACTACAACAACCCCTCGCATGTTTTTTTCTAGGCTAGGGCCGCAAATCAATTTGATGATGTTACAACTCGTTAAGAGAGAGAGAGATAGAGAGGAAAAACGCAATGTCGCTTGTAATATGAAATATAATGTACAGTGGACGCTCGCTAATTAGAACGCAGCGATTTCGAACGCAATTCTTATCAGCAACATTTTGCTAATTATTAGTTTTTAGTCGGTAGATATAGCCAAAAAAATACTTTTTAGCCAGCTCCGAAGTCGTTCGTATTTATTAAAGGTAAATTAAATTAAATAGTTTCTCTAAGCCGACTTTTTTTTAATTTTCATTCATTTCTTTAACAAAGGACATTCAAGAAAAAAAATGTGCATTTAAAATTGATTTCTTATTTTTTAAGAAATCCAATTTCTGGAAAAATTCCTTTTTTCTTGAGTTTCATTTTCCCAGCGTCCACTGTATTAGCTCAGCTGCCAAAAGGCCAAACGCTCAAAAGTGTGTGTTTGTGCTTGGGGGTTGGTTGCGTGCATTTTCAGCAGCCACTGAACTTTGCTGTTATAAAAAGAACAAGCAAAATAAAGAACATAACAGAAAAATATGTTTAAAAAAAAACACCAAATTGTAAACAGAGCGCCGGCACAAGCAAAGATAAATGCAGAGAGCGGAAGTCTTGCACTCTCTCTCTCTCGCTCTCTCGTACTCTCTTTCACTTCTGCATGCGCTGTCTGTGTTATGAATGTTGTTGTGGTCAGTGTCAGGGCTGCCATTGGCAGGCGGCAGGCGGCACAGGCAGCAGGTTGAATGTCAGTGTGTGCGTGTGTATGAGTAATGCGTGCGATTGACTGATCAAAACGGAACATGTGAAATGTGAGCAAATGTGTCACCCACCACTCAAAAATTATCCTACCATACATCCCCCCCGGCCGTCATTATAACGTCGCTGTCTTATCCTATCGATTTTTCAAGCGCGCGTAACAAAAATAAAAGAATAAAGATTGATTTAAAAAACACATGCATTTGCTTATTAGCATCACAATGCGAACTTGTATGGGAAGAGCTTTAGATTTCGACGAAGAAAACGCAGAGGGCTGCATCTTGACAGGCGCAGCGCTGCCAACACTTAAACCGGCCTTTGCCGGCAGCGACGCAGCTGCTTTGTGTGCTGAGGGTTGAGGGTTGACACAGTTCTTAAACACAAACACACACTTATGTACACATACACATACATCTTTACGTTGCCTTTGTGTTCCATTAAAAAGTTCATAAACAAATTATGTAGTTGTTTATTTAACACAAACACATACACTCACATACGTAACGCACACACATTAGCAGATCAACAAATGTTGGCGGCTGGAACAAATTCCATATGAGAACAAATACCGTTTATTGTTGAAGCTTTTTACTTTTGTCGATCTCTGCTTCATGCTATTTTTTCTTGCTGCTTTTTCTCACGTTGCATTTGTCACTGTCGGCGCTGCAGAGGACCGAAACACGTTGAAGCTTTGAATTTTGCACAATTTCTTTTGCACGTTTTTTTCATTATTTTTTTTGTTGTTTGCCATACATTGCCCTCAAATCGTGCTGCGGTCGCCGACGCGAGCAGCGCTGCTCTGCACGCTGACTCATAAGGAGCAGCAGCAAGAGAGCAGCAGTTACAGCAAAGGAGATGGGTAGATAGAAAGAGAGAGATGGCGAGAGAGAAAGAGCGTAAGGAGCGGCTGAGCTGTGCAGGCAAGCAGGGTGCTCTTGTTGTTGTTGTTTTTGTTATATCCACTATTTTTTTTTTCGTTTCGTTTTGGCTTTTCTCGAGCAACATTTTTCCTGTTGTTTGCCGTTTTCACGCTGCTGCTCTGATGCTTATGTTAATTTTCACATTCACAAAGTGCAATGCATGTGTGTGTATGTAGTTACACTGCATACACAAAAATTATAAAATAATTTATGGCAATTTAAGCAAGCGAACCGTTCGAGTTGTTGTTGCATTTGTTATTGTTGCATTTACTTTTGTTGAATATCTCTTGCGTCTTTTACAAGCGTGAAGTTTGAATGAGCTGCACAATTTTTTTTATTTTTTTGTGTTACTCTTTGGTTTGCACTTCGTTTACACACTCTTTACACTATGCTGCTTACAACGAAGTTGTTGTTGCTGTTGTGCTTGATGCACTTCTAGATATAGATACCGTTACACTTGTGCAATTTACAACAACAACATTGACGGCGTCTACACAGACAACACTTACACAAACAAGCACGCACACATATGCACATACGGGAGGCGTACTTGGTGCAATTGGGCGCAACAACAATAAATTATTATTTACGTGCCCAAAAACCACACACAATGAAAATTTCCCAGTGCAGCGAAATTTAATTCTACCGAAATGCAATGCGAGTAACGGCCAGGCGGCTAACTAGCGCGCACACGTCCTACCGCGTTGACTTGTGAATTGAAACTGATATCGTCTATCGATTGAGCAAGTGAAATATTCTATCCGGCGGCGAAAATACTCGGAGAGTAAAATGTGAGAGAGCACAACTGCTGGTGTGAAACAGGTCCATTCTGCGCATAGTTTCAGAGCGTAAAAGGTTGCCACTTTGTTCTGCGGAGTTCCGAGCGCGTATGACGTCACGCATCTGGTGTTTTCATATACGCCAATATTGCAATTATTATTAACACTTAATTATAATTACTTATTTATCTATGAATTATTGTAGGTATTAACTGTTGCTTTAATGAATTTTCAGTTAATATTATTTATTTACTATTTAGGTCGTTAGTCGCGCATTCTAGTTAATTTGCATCTATCACGTGAGATAAGGTTTAAAAATAAACATTTTTTACAGATATTTCAAATTTTAGCATCAATTAATTAATATTTATTGTTCATTTTGAAATAAATTGTTCCTTGAGGGTCGTTCGAAGGGCATAAAATACTTAAACATGTGAAAGAATCGCGATGTTGAAGTATCGATAGCCGCGCTTGCTGCTACTTTATCGATTATAGCCTTTTCAACCGTTTTTTTGCTACTATCTTTTTGAGAACAAGAGATTATTATTTTTATGAATATGAACTTTAGTTGAAGTTCAGAAGCATGCCCTTGGCTACCTCCTGTGCCTTCACAGTGCCAGTCAGCTGCTCGGATATCTTCAGTGCAAATTCGTAGGCTGTGCCCGGTCCACGACTGGTTATTAGATTTCCATCCTGCACGACGTTCTCATCATCCACATAGCTGCTTAAAATACAAATGTATATCATAAATATTCTATATGCCAATATCAGTAGGTGACCCACCAATATTTATCCACCAGTTGAGGCTTCATGGCGGGATATGACGTCAGCGATTTGCCGGTGGCTATGCCGTGTTTGGCCAACGCTGTGGGCGCTGCACAAATGGCTGCAATTAGACGTCCAGCCGATTCCTGGTTACGCAGCAGCTCGCCAATCGCCTTCGAATCAGCCATGGCATTCGAACCGCCCAATCCGCCGGGCAGCACAACCACATCGTATGGCTCATCCGCTAGCGCCTCCTCCAGGGATTTGTCCGGCACAATGACTACGTCACGCGAGCACTTGACCGGCTCGCTGCCATTCAAACCGGCGACGGTCACATTGACCTGGGCGTAAAAGTCGTTGCGATAGATGCTAAAAATAGCCGGATAATGGGTGGTCACTTACGCCCGCACGACGCAGCACGTCCGCTGCAATGGTAAACTCCATCTCCTCCGCACCTGGTGCCAGGATAATCAACGCACTTTTTGTCATGTTACAGTCGGCGAAAAATTTCGGCTGAGTTATGCTTAAAACGCTACTCTCACGACTTCTGCTCAGCGATAGCAGTCGCAGTGGCCAGCGTAACATTGAGTACATATCGATAAGAGTGGTTGGTTATCGATGTAAAAAACTGTTGCCAGCTCAAATTTCAGACAATTAGCTGAGGTGACTTTCGAATTTGGAAATTGAAATAAAATGAAAAGTTGGTTGCAAGATATCTAGAATAATAACAATATACTTAAAATCAAAGCAATATTCGTTGCTTCAAACAAATTTTTAAGTCTATGTTCATGGCTATGAATAACCATATACGCGAACCGAACCTTAAGGCAAGGGTTCAAATCGTGAACTGAAAGAACCTTAGTTTTTTTAATTAACGTTCTTTTTTTTAAGCTTGAGGCAGTAGAGATAAGAATGCATTAGAAGATATTTAACTTGTCAATTTAAAAAAAAATACATAAATGCATTGCTATGGCTTATAAGTTGAAAGTGTTATATTTAAATTTGGGGAAAACGTGGAAACTGAAAGGTGAGTTATCTGTGCGAACCGTGAACCAATTCAGTGACAAGTTCCTTGGATCTGCAACGATGAGTAAAACAATTGTGACGTCATTCAAATTGGGTTTCCTGTTGCGTGCATTAAACTAAAACGATATTTTTTAGTTAAATATATATTTATTGAACAAAAAATAGGTGTCTATGTATTTTATTTTTCTTGTTTGCAATGCAATTGAATATGTTAATTTGGTTCTACTCACAAATTCACACATACACATGCATTTATGTAGATTGCCAAATGTTAATTTTGTTTTCGAAATTAAAAAAAATAAAATTATGTAAAACCGCAAAAAACTTGCAAACTAATCTGAAATGTTTTGTTTTTAGTTTTTTCTTTTGTATAAAATGTAACTTAATTGAATTAGTTGTTATACATAAGAACTATTTGTATTGAAGCGCTTAGAAACTAATTGTTAGACAGCTGATTTTAATTAATTACTTCTTCTTTTTTTTTTTAATTTCAATTGAGTTAAATTAATTGTCTCTGATGGTAGTCCAATATTAAAAAGTTTATCAATAGTGTGGAAAAATCTTTACGTCGTAATTTAAGTCACATTTAGAACTTGTTTGATTTGTATTTCTTGTTATTTTAGTTTTTTATTTTTATTTTTATTTTTTTACTAATAACATTTAAAAAGATCACCAAAGTTACAGATTTCCCATATTTACGTTGCTTACGTTTCGCATTTAGTTTTTATTTATTTATGCTTTACGAATAATGTATTTTTGCTCAATTTGCTTAAATAATAATTAAAAATTATTTATGTTATTGATTAATTACCCGGCATTTTGGTTTAAACTTTAAAGTAAGGGTTTGATTGGGTTTTTGTTGTTGTTGTTGTTGAAATTGATCTTTTAAGTGGATCAGATATCAGATATATAAGTAAGTATTACATAATATGTAATTTTTAAGCTTCTGACGATACATTTGATACCTTTAATTTACGAGTACTTTATTTGTTTGTTTTAGTTTTTTTTTTCTCAAGATTTTTGCTAATCCAATTTCAGCTAAGTTTTATTTGCTTTTCGTTTTTGTTTTTAAATAATATTTGTATGTTTTTATTTTTGTCTTTGAATGTCAATTGGAACACTACGACAACTGTGGGCCTGGGTTACGGGCGTGGTGTTTCCTTTGTGTGGGACTAATTGGAAGAATACGTGTACACAATTACGTAAACATACACATTTACATATATATATATATATATATATATATATATAAATATACATATATTTTGGTAAGTAATTAAACGTATATAATTGCTTGGAGTTAGTCCTTTGGAATTTTTTTTTGTTTTGTTTTTTTTTTTGTTAATTGTGGCATAATTTTATTTCCTTTAGGAAGAGTTGTGCAATTGCTGTTCTAGCTTCGTTTGATCATCTAATCCGAATATATAGTTATATATATATATACTTGTATATTATTGTAGACATTTATATGTTTTGTGTGCTTAGTTGCTAATATTTAATTTATTATATCATTGAGTTTGCAATAAACGGCACATTTATAAGTAATAATTGTTAGAAATAACAAGAGGCCCCAGCTCTGATCCATTTTTTTGTTATAAGTTGTTTTTTGTTTAAAGCTCAATTAAATTTCGACACATAGAAAGTGAGAGAATCATTATAGTCGGCTTCCCGGCCTGTTGAATAGAAAATTGTTTACTTTTAATCTATTTATATGTAATATATATATATACTATTTAGTATATAAACTCATTGTTGGCGGCCCTCGTTTATAGAGCAGAGCAAAAAGTATTACATTCAGTTGGGCTTTGATATATTTTATACAGTGTATACAGTATTCGTTTATAGATCGTCAATCAATCCATGCAAATCTCACTCTCTGCTATATATATATAGGGATAGTCTATATATAACTATATATGAGATATTGTGTTATAATGTCCTTCGGTTTAGCTGCGCGACATTTGAAGAAACCATGAAATTGTTTTCGTTTTTAAGGAGGGGAATAATACATTTACATAATAATTATGTATAAATCTTTTATTGCATTTATATTAGCTTGTTATATATGTATATATATATATATATATATATATATATATATTAATGGATTATGTGATTTATAAGTTATGCGCCCATATTAATTCTGTTAATGTCTTAATCACAAGTGTCAACTGTTGTTTCAAGAGTCTGGGCATATATCTAGATATATATATAGATATCTATATATTTTGTGTTAAAGCTTTAGACTTTGCTCTATAAATGTCGAACCAGCATTATAGCTATCCCTCGTGTGTTTTACAAGTACAAATTACAATTACAAGGATACATTCATTGTCGGCACATATATTGTTGTTGTTTTGTTTTGTTTTGTTGTTAAGCTTAAAGTACATAAAAATGTATTTGTAAAGTAGGGTTTTGTTGAGAGACCCGGGCGCATGTACCTAAACTTAAGAGACCCCGCATATTATTTGCATTGTTTCGATTACATTGTTGCTTTTTGCTTTTGGATGTCCTTAAAATTAGAATTGTTTTTTAATTGTTTGTTTTTTGTTTTTCTTTGTTTGTTAAGAAATAAATGTACAATTTTAATCCCTTGTGTTAAAACATGCTAAATAATTAATGTTTTTTTTTTTTTCATCATAAAAAATACAAATACATTAAAAACAAAATAAACATGTTACAAAGCCACCGAATCTTCAGCTGCTTTTGCACACTTTCATTTTGTTGTTTTTGCTTTAAGAACTAATTTGTAATAGAAAATTTTAGCTTATACATGTTTATAATTTATGTATTTTATAATGCTCACATATATGTATTTTATGTATGTGTGTGTGAGGGTGTAGGTATTTGTGTCGGTGTGTGTTTGTGTGTGTGTATGCGTGTGTAGACGACACGTTTTGAAAGGCATCAAAGTAATTTTTAAAAAAATTGTAACTTGAGTTTGAACATATTTGCATGAGAGGGCGCTTGAAGTGTCTGAAGACAGAAATTGTTATAAATAAATGGGTTGCTCGTTTTTGGTTCTATAATAGAACAAATCAGCATAATGTTAACTTGAACTGTGTCCTCCATAAAAGTACATATATGTATATATATATTTATATATACATATTAATATTTGTAAGGTTTGTAAAATTGGCAATTATTAAAAAAAAACTAAAACTTAAACTAAATATGCCCTATGAGTTTAGGGGAGCAGCTGCGAAAATATGATTTGAATAAAGAATTGCGCTTAATTACCATATTATTTGTTTACCCGTACACCACGTTATTTGTTAAGACTTCATTAATACAATTAACAGCGTTTTGTGTTTGTTATTAAAATTATGAAACTTAAGTTGAGCTAAATAGAGGTACATAAATTAATTGGACATTGGGTTTGATATGCCGTGTATGCTGTGTTGTGTTGTGTGTGTGCCTGTGTATGTGTGTGGGTGTGTGTGCATAGTGTGTTTATAGAAAACATAAACTATTTAACTATAACTAAAATTCGCTGTTTAGTTAAACAGCAACTGTTGACTTTAGCATAAGTTTAGCGCAAACTTTTAAGTATTGTTTTTGTTTTTTGCCATTTGTGTTAAAGTCACGGCTAGCCACGTTTATACAGATACAATATACTAGTTGCCTAAATATACATGTATATATATATATATATATATATTATATATATATAAATATAACTAACAATTGTTTGACCAAAAGTTTGTCCCTTGTTGAAATTGGAGTTATCGTTAATGTTGTTACTGTTTTGTTTTTTTTTTGGTAGTTCCCAGCTTAAGTCTACTAAAAAGTTTGCTTTTCTTTACAATTCTGGACTTTTGAGTTGTAGTATTGAAGTTTTTCTTTTTGTTTTATACACATATATATATGGCTAATTATTACACTCTTTAATGCTTGTCGTAATGTTGTTGTTTGTTGTTGTCATTTTTGTTTTTGTTAATAATTCATTAAGCTTGGTGGTGGTCTTCGTTCACAGTACAGAGAATTCCGAGTTGTTGTTGTTGTTGTTGTGTATATGTTGTGTTTTGTTGTCTGTGTGTGTGTGTTAATCAGCAACTTTTTTCTTGTTTTGATATACTAAAAAACCTTTGGTTGTCTGCATTTTTTTTTTGTCTTCACATTTTTTAAACTTTGTTTTTGTTTTGTATTGTGTAAAAATATAATTTATTCTATTACAAAAGTTCATCGTAAATGTGTGTTGTTGTTTTGCGGTTGTTTTCAGCTGTTGTTGTTTTTTTGACTTTCGTTTTGTTCCCTTTAGTTTGTTTCGCTACGCTTGTTTTTATTTTAAAATTTTTTGTTTTTTTTTCTTTCTTTTTTTGAGAATTCTCTTTCACATTTGTTGCGCCTGCTTGTGCTTAAACATTCGATTCCCTTTTTCTCTAATCCCTACGATTTTGGCGTGTGGGTATTGGTGTTTGTGTGTGTGTATTGTTTGTGTGTATTTTGGGCCTAAAAGCTAATGCAAATGTGCTCCATAAGAGCTGTTCTGGCTTTCTTTATAACTTAAACATAAACATCATTTTAAACTTATTTTCTAATGATTCCGACTCGGCTTTCGTAAACGCTTTGTTTTTTTTTTCTGAGTTGGCTGCTTATTCGAATTCATTTTCGAAATTTAAGTGTTTTGTTGTTGTTGTTGTTGTTGCTGTGTGGATGTGTGTTTGTTAATTTGTTTGTTTTTTATTTTGGTGTCGCTTTCTATACTTTTTAGGCAAAGTACATGACCTTTTTGGTATCGGCATGAACCGTTATAGCGCGTGCCATGGCTCCGGGCGTGCGATCCTCGGAGGAGCCGCTCTGATGCGATCCCTCGCCGGAATCGTGCTCCTTTTCGACCAGATGGTATCTGTTGGGCAAAGAAATGTCAGTAATTCAGTAATCAACAGTTATATAGACTTGTTCATGCTATGCAACTAAGACTTTCTGAACTTTTTTCATTTATTAAAGTCTGGGAACACAAACTTGATTTTAGGCTAGTTAAGTTGGCTGCGCCTATTGAGTTTTACCTCTTCTAAGACAATCTGGCAACTCCAAATATGCGTTTAGACTAGCTAAGTTAGCTGCGCTTGTATTTTTTGTATTCTTATGCGCGACCATAACCTCACTACAAATTTTGAAAATCGCATAGAACGCCGCTAGTTTTATAAAACTATAATCACCTGCCTAGTTAGCATAGCCTAAACGTAGTCTATAATAAATATAAGTGTTACATACCTGGCACGGAAGGCAACCAAATGCGCATAGTAGGCCGGCGCTGGGATGCTGACAGAGCGCGTGCAGCGCACATAGGTGTGGCACAGTTGATAGGTGAGGCATTGCAGCTCATCGGAATCAAAGTGATTATCATCCCAGAGCACATGATAGTGGGAGGGGCGACTGGTGCCCTGAATGCCCTGATGGCTGCACAAGTAGAAATCAAACTCTGTGGGATGTGTGATGCCAACGTCGACGGTGGTGCCGGCGGGTATGTTGCCTGATTTGCCGCTCTGCTCCCTCTTCTCGGCGCAGAAGAGTCGCGTATGATGTCGCTTCTGTACGACAATAAATGTAATGCCCGGTCTGTACTCCGGCTCCAATTTGATGCATGCCTCGCGTATGGCGGTCAGCTCGTGCTGCAGCACATGGGGGAATTGACCCTCGGAGACGCCGTCGCGATAGAGTATGATGCGATGCGGCTTATAGCCACCGGTGGATTTGTAGAACATGATAAGCAGTTCGCGCACCATGCTGCTTAGCTCCTGAATTATCTCCTGGCGATGCTGCTGAACGCGCACCGTGGCCGCATAACGCGATGGATGCGCATCCATCGAGCCAACAACAGCGGCTATAGATGGCTTCTTGTTGTCACCAGCCGGCGGATGGGTGACATCGGCGCCCAGGAAAATGACGGGCTCATTAAAGACCTTGGGTCGAATCGAGGGCACCAAAATAGAGTTAATTCCGCCCAGCTTTACATTGATCTTGAGGCACAGATTGGAGAGCGTTTGTGGCGATGTCTTGTTCACATTCTTGGCCTGCACACACTGCGTGGCCATGCCCAGCACCGTGTCGCCCACACGCTTCACCTCAGCATAGACAGGCGTTTTGCCCGGCAGCACGACAACGACAAGCTGCAGTCCAGGGAAGGTTATCTTCAGATAACGAAACATGGGCTCCACCTGATCCGGTCCAGTAGCATACTTGCAGAAGCAAGGCTGCCCAATGATGGGCATTCCAGCATCATTGGAGATCTTTTGCAGTTGCAGTGTAAAGTTACGCAACGCATCCTCGCGCACTGTGCGCTGTGGCGCAAAGCAGGCAATTGCCCAAATGCGTATCTCGACGCCCGTGAAGAACTGCTTGCCACGCATATCCCAAACGCCCTGATTGGGCGACGCCAGGCTGACCTTGTTCTGTGGCGGTAACAGCTGCTGTCCGGTAATGCCCGACGATACACGTCCCCCATATTGTAGCTTTGGTGGCGGCAACACTCGGCCGCGCACCTCCATCATGGAATTGGAGATGGTCAGACCGAACTCCTGGACATACGAGTCATTGTTGAAGTCGGCACGTTTGACCAGATTGTTAATCTCGCGTTCGCGATCTGGCGCCGAGCGAGCGGTGGCCTTGATCATTGTTGATGTCTGCATATCGGTGAGCTTCTTGATGCAACGCTGGCCGGCCACAATGTTGCACACTTCGAGCGGGAGATAGGTGTGCTTGTGCTCCTGACCCACCTGCAGGCAGGGCAAATGCGGATAGCGCAGCTTCATGCGATACTTATCCAAAAAGTACTTGGCCACGGTGCACTCCACAGTCTGCCCGTTTTCTAGCTGCAGCGGGAAGCTAATCAAAAAAGAAAAGATAAATTGGGATCAGTTAATGTAACCATTCAATTGTAGCCAGTCTTCAAGTGATGTCTTTTTATTCTCTAATCTGTAAATAGTTGACGCAAATCTCTTCCAGAGATCGCGCCCAAAAAGGACACCCAATCTCGTTAGATGTACATGCATCTTTGAAACCATGCCATGGATTTATAAAATATGGAAATCATCCGGGTTTTCTGCCACATGACCTGTTATGACTCCTGTCGTCAACTGAATTCTGTTTTCGTTGATGTAGAAATCCGAAGGTAGACAGGGTCTGTTAGCACTAATCCGAGTTATTACTGTCTACTGGCCTATTAACACCTATTAGGCAAAACTTCTGCAAATGCTACGCTCAACGTACGACCAGAATACGTTTTCTTAGGTTTATAAACTTATATCAGGTTTCTACCAGAACAGCTCCTAGGGGGAAATAGCCCACTCACCTAACCTGAGCTAGGATTTGATTGCAATTTCGTTGCTTTCACTTACGATTGCATTTGAGCTGGTCGGCGTGTAACGTTGCAGACGCGATATTTGCGACGCATTTGGCCACAGTGTGTAATCTCAATCTTGAGTCCCTTGATCTCCTTGGTGAATTTGACGCGCTGCGAGTCGGTGAGCGGTTTGCGCTGCTCATTAATGTCGCGTATGTCGAGGACCTCGCACATAAAATCAATAACCGGTTGTGCCTTGTAGAAGGCAGTAGCCGAAACTGTAAGGCAAGGATTTAGTTTAGAATTGAATTCAAATAAGTTGCAGTTAGTTCGCCTACTCACCATCAATGTTGAGCATCATTTTCCACTGCGATGGCCGTACGCTCTGATGGAAACCAAACCAGACTTCACGACCGCCACCCAGAGGATGATAATAGCCATCGGGTGAGCTAAAGAAACTGCGTCCCACGGGCGTGTACGTCATGCTGGGCAAATGACGCATGACCACATCGAGTGCCAATATGGCATCATAGGGTATTTGGCGAGTACGCCCCTCCAGCGCCTCCTCCAGATTAAAGAGCGACACCTGCGCCTGCCACTTGATCGTCACACGGAAGATGCGATCCTTGCCCTCGCCGGGCAGCGTCACCTCCAGCTCCAGACGCTCATTGCCAATGGGCAGTGGATCGCGCGTATACAAATTATTGCGTCCATCAAACACGGGCTTGAGCACCCCAAAGATCTTGCTATACGCATGCACCATGGTCTCAATGATCTCGCGATTCACCTTGCGCGGACACTTGTCCGGCTGGATATTGATGTCGTAATGGTGCACAAAGCCGCGCGGCATTGTCACCTGAAAGTGATTCGCACGGAGCACAATCGGTCTGCCCTCCCGGCCGAGATTCGGTCGACGCGGGCACGTGAATACCGGCATATCCGGCTGCGCAGTGGGCGATGCCGCTGCAGCGGCAATGGCTGCCGATACGCTAGCCGTGGAGCCAAGAGCAGAGGCAACCTGAGCAGCGGCTGCAGCAGCTGCACCACCAACGGTGGCACCGCCGGCAGCAACATTCTGAGCACTCGGACTGGTCACAGCGGTGGGATTTACCGATGAACCGGGCGCTGGTGGTGCTGTAAGTGTGTGTCAGAAATCGGGATTAGACTACAAACGAAAATTTCCAGATAAAGGAATAGATAAAACGCAAGTAAATTAACGACTATGCGACGCATTAGCAACTAGATAATTGTACTAAGTAACAAACTAGAACAAATTTCTTCGGTTGCCGAAAACTGGGTACCCTTACAGACGTATGTAGACTTTAATAATGTGATCTGAAAAACGCATTGTTGCTATACCCAGCTGATTAATTTAATGAGAGCTATATAATATAGAGCTCCGATCTTGAACATATTTCTGTTTAATAATATTCATAATTGGCGAGTGGTGAAGATATTTTTAGAATAGAAATAAATGTGTCTTAAACGGTCCTCTCTACGAGAACCATATGATATATTAATCCGACTTTGGATGGTTTATTGCTGGAGTCTTGGAAACAAAGTGAGTCTTGCTTTGTGATTTTTATTTAAATTTTCAAATGATAACTCAATTTTCGATCGGTAGCTTTTTGATATAATATTGTGATCCGAATCCATGTAAAAATTTGTTAAAACAGACGGACTTAAGAATATATATATTATATCAAGATTATAAATGCAAAATGCATTTTATGAGAAAACCCGCTGGAAGGGTATTAAAAATAATGGTTACGAGCAACGCTGGCATGCAGATAGTTGCACTACACGAGAAAACCAAAAGTACAAAAGTTATACAAGTAACGGTATATGCAACGTAACGCGCTGTGTAGAGATTTTTGGTGTGTCGAGTTTAAATACAACTGTGCATTTAGTTTGCATTCAATCAAACGGAAAAATCATAAATAAACATTACATGAAACGAAAAATGTTAGTTAAAATTTTGCACATTACTATGAAAAATTAGTGTGTAGACTTTTTTTATAGGGTTAGTAAGGTGTAGATATTTTTATGTTAGTTCAAATTTTGTTTTTGTTTTCCTCAAACATTAAACTAAAGAACATAAAAAGTTTTTGTTTTCAATTTAAGATTTTTTGTTTAGTTTTAGTAGTTTTAGTAATTTGGTTTTGTTGGAGAGAAATTTACATGTGAGCGTGTCGAAGCTAGTCTGCGCCTGAGAGGGGCTCTGAGGCCGCGTGGGCGAGGGGGTGGTCCACTGTGACTCTATAAAAAGAAAATTTAATCAAAATCAAAATTGTCAAAAATTAAAGAAACGAAAATAAAAAAAAAAATTAAATTAAATGGCCAATCATGTTTGATTCAATGAAATAAATGTAATGAGAAAAAAAGAAGAAAGAAAGAGAAGGTGATAAAGAAATATATTGAATATTATATAGAGTGCGATTAATATTTTAGTTACAGCTTCTCCCAGCTTCATCATCCATTTATCATTTCATTATCATTATAATAATCAAGTGTTTATCTGCCACATTAGAGTGTGTACATGTGTGTGCAGTTATATTACGCCTGCATCTTCCCAAGAGAACTGAAAATAATATATTGTTGTGCTACTCCATTGAAAAGCTCGTCTGCAAATTCTAATAAAAACATTGAACCCTTTTAATTTCAAAACTATCGACAGGCAAATTTACGAAAGTCTCCCATCTCCATTCTACGCCCGACATCTGCGCTCCTCGTGTCTAATACGCAAAAAAAAAACTACAACAAAACTGCGACGCAACTGGTGCGACGCTTTAAAATTCCGCTTTGAAGAAGCAATCGAACGACGAACTTAAGGATGAACAAATACTCCACTTGAGCCCCAACATAAAGCTCAACTATTACGTTGCGGTCGTTGACCCAATTTATGTGCACATGTTTGACACAACTGCCTGTTCCTGTATCTCTCCCGCTCTAGCGCTCTCAATTGATGCGCCCAAGTCTACATAGTCTACAGTCTATTGTGTTCTTCCTCTTATGCTCTTAGTTATATGCATTTGCTTATTGGAGCTTTGAGCGCTATTGCACTTAACAGTTACTCAACTGTCTCGAGTGCCTCGCCCTCGGCCATTTACGCATTCATTCATTCTCAATTTTATGATATTGTGGAGAATTGTGTTTGCAAAGTCAGCCGACGACGAGTGTGTGTCTGTGTGTGCGTTTGCAAAAGTAGAACATCAAAGAGCTTCATTATGGGCATTGGGGGGTTTTCGGGTGTATGTTTGTGTGTGTGTGTGTAACATGTGGCAGATTTGTAGACTGTTTTTTTCAATTGCAATCGCCACTTACGTTGTCCAACTGGATACATTTTGCACTAGTATTTGTTTAAGAAATGTAAGAATGTATACAAAGGTTTTCTGGTTTTTTTTTTGCTTTTTCGTGTATGTGTTTTAAATGTAATTGATTGTTCTTGTAGTTGGTTTTTTTTTTGTTGCTTTTCGTTCCTACTAATTATTATATTTTGTTTTTTTTTTTTGATTTCAGCCTTTTGCTTATCACACTTTAAAGTAGTTTTATTCGTTTGGTTGATTTTCGCATTAATTTTATTGTTGCGGGCGTATTTTGTGTTGTAGTAAAAATTGGAATTTTCGAACAGGACACACGCTTGCAAATGCGTTGAATTTGTTGTCGAGTCTTCTTTAATTATATTACTACTATTATTGATAATTTTTAATATTATTTTTATTGTGGTTGTTATTATTGTAGTATTGGAAAAGAACACAAATGTAGGCACAGCTTTCGTTTTATGTATTTGTTTGTATGTATATGTACATATACAAATACATTTGCATGTATGTATTTCTAATGCTCTTATATTTTTGTTTTTGTGTTTTTGTCATACAACTAAGAACAAATTATTCTTTATGCTTCTTTATCTTGCTTTGGCTGTGTGAGTGCGCGTGTGGGTGTTTTGTGTGCGTATGAATGTGTATGAAAATTGCTGGTGTGCTGGGTGCTCCGCTGGACAAACGACGAAGGCGACGGCGACGGTGGCGCTTCTACAGCAAGAAAATGCTTTTGTATGCGTTTTAGATTGGGCAGCAAAAATGTGTGCACACGTATATTTGTTATTTTTCGAGACGTCGTTTTTGTGCACCCGAACACGTATGCGCTGCCAAAACTATGCACAGACGTTAGCCAGACTATTGATTTTTAATTTTTAACAACTTTTGTTAGCTTTTCACGTCGCGCATTATGCAAAATATGCAATTTTCATCAGTTTTTCACACTTGGACGTCCCGCAGCAAACACAAAATTTTTACTCGCGACGTGTGTGAGTGAGACGCATACTGTACGCTAACCACACTTAAATGAGGGCAAAGCACTTTGGCTGGGGGTTGGTGCGTGTGACTGAGATGACAGTATGTTGCTGCTGCGGGAGCGTGTGAGCGTGACGCATTTGTGCATCTAAATCAAAGCGTCAGTATTATATTTGTAAGTTGTGGATTATTTTTGCTATTATATTGCCTTTAAACGTATTTTTCTATTAATCTACGGCGTATGCAAGTCTAATGTTAACTCAAATTGGGTCTGTTATACTCAAATTGACAGTAGAAGTGTTGGCAAAGGTTGGTTTAAGTATTGAATAGTGATTGTACTGCAGTGTGGCCATATTTAAGGAAGTCTGTATATCAGTCTGGCAGCGCTATTTATCGGCATCGCTGGGTGTTGTTATAAAACCAATTGCAAATTGTTTTACTTAATTTGCATTTAAAATGTCGGTGCCATTTAGCGGCACATTAAGCCGCTCGGGCGGCATTGTCTCGGCCATAGGCAAACAGCTGAAGAGCGTTAATCTTAAAGGTGTCAAACGCATTACAGTGCAGTTCGATCCGTTTGCGGAAAATGTAAAAGCCACACGGTTAGTATGTTATGTAGGAGGAAGGGATGAGGGGTGTTATTGGGAGGTGGGTTGATAAGGCAGCAATAGGGTTGGAAAAGCGCTTTCCCAGCGCCCCAGTTTATCGATTATGAAACATGCGCATTGCGACGCATATGGTAAAGATTTTCACGAAACAAAAGTGCGTTGTCGAAAAATGTAAAAATAAAAAACATTATTGAAAAAGTGCATAAAAATATTACACGTAAAAATTGATACGAAAATAAATGATGTCCTACTGTGTAGCAGTAGTTCGGCTTGCACTTACCATAAACCTTGCCCATGATGCCCACCGTAGAGTTCAGCTGCAGTGCAGTGCCCAAATCGGGTGAAAATGTCAACGGCAGCGTATGGAGCTGAGCTGGCCCGCCGGCCAGCTCCCGCTCCGTTGACATTTTAGTCGGTGTCGGCGTCAGCTTGAGGCGTTGCTTCTATTGCCACTGACAGAGACAGCTGGGACCACATGTAAAAAATAATGGAATATTAGTGTATAGAGTGCTCAAATCTCTAATATTATCTAGTATACAAGAGTTGTCGCTAAAGAACAGTAACAACAATAATTAACTTATGTTCAATTTAGGTAGCACCTTTCTTGGAAATGGATTTCTTTGGACTTACTCTCACAAAGCAGTCATATATTAGCTAATTATATAAATCAATTCTCTCTCTCTGGCTCTTCACAGCGAATTTCTCTTCCTGCTCTCCACGCCAAAAGTGTCCCAGACGAATCCCAATTGCGTTGTCAAGCCGGACATTGTCTGCGATCGTTCGCCAGCGTTGATTAAATTTGCGCTAATCGACTCGGCGCAAGGTAGTGTATTAAGCAAACCTAAATCACCCACTGTTCCAATAACAAATTTGCCCAACTCTTGCAGAAAAATCCAAAGTCAAGGAGATTCGCTTCAATAGTGAAAATCTGAATACCCTGGAACTGCTGCAGCTGTGCAACAAGCACGTGTCCTCATTAGCCCCGCCCGAGGAAGTTGCCAACAAGGTGCTAACGAAGGCGGAGAAACAGAAATTGGGCGGCGGTGGCAAAAAGGTGATCAAAAAGAAGTAGATAACACGTGATAAGCGACTCCCACTCGCTGCCTGTCATCATGGTGCGGAAACACAAGGGCACCCTGGCCGTCATTGAGCAGATCTATCAGGACATACCCGCTTTCACCGATATCTTTACGGAGGAGAGCTTCTACACGTTCGCCTTCTGTTTTGTCTGTGCCACCGTTCTGGTGGCATTTATACTATCGCGCTTTATCACCATCAAGCCTGTAGATTTCTGAACCAGCATTAAAAACTTAAGCTTTAACATGTAAAACACTCCACTCCATTGTCTTTTCTCTGCACGACTGCCCCAAAAGGGCAGAGGCGATGGGGCCCGGCGATTCGGGTACTTGGCTGTGCCTGTCGCCTGCTGAAAAACCAGTTTTGGGCACAGCATTTCATACGCTTGCAGCGGGCATTGGAAGTTTGTCAGGAAATGTGTGACAGCCGATAAAGTATATACATTTTTGATATAACTGGCATACTGTCTTTCTGTTTCTTAGTTTATGATCTGCTTTCTTCTAAAGGCTAGCTTGATGGTTGAAGGCCATTATATCATAAAAAACCTTGAAACATCGGATATATGGAAGCCATGCAAATTACCAATTTTGAATGTTTTTATGCTCCCGATATGTTATCAAATTCGTACTATTTACGGACACCTTTATCTATCATTGACATAGCAACAAATATAGAAGAAATATCGATCTTTAAAATATACACAATTATTTTTGTTTGTTTTTATTGTATACCCCTGCCCAATAGTAATGATAAATATTGTACTCTTGATCTTTTGGCAACATCTTATACACATTGAATTAGTCTAACATATTCTTCCAGAAAGCTTATATTACAAAAGGTTCTTTAATGTGTAAAAAAGATCTAAATTCAAGAAACTAGAATTTGTCATTCTTTTGTGCACAATACCATATTTAAACTTAAGGATTTCTATAGCTTGATTTCTATTGGGTTCTCTAGAACTCTACGCTTCAAAATTGTAGGTTGAGGGCAAAATCTAGAAAAGCCCGATTTATAATTATAATTTGTGAAATTCAATTTGTTATATGAAGGATTCCAACATTATGCCAGGTCTGTAAGGGTATCTAGAGTTCGCCATCTGAAGATAGCGGTTTCTTATTTTTGTTTGCAACTTTTGCTTTGGCAAACCGGAAAATCATCTGCTTTGGCTGGAGTCAGCCGAAAAAAAGCTGTGTCTTAGGCTGGGGCGGCGTGGTGGGAGGGGGGGACTCCAGAGACACAGCCTTATAATTGCATTGATTGCGTCTGCCCAGGGAGGAGGTGTGTGGGGGCAAGGCACAGGGCACAGCTATATAATTGCAACGACTGCCACACGTAATTGGAAACGCATATAATTGTTGGGCTCGCAGCAAGGAGGTCATGCTGGAACTTGAACTGGTCACACTGGCAATATGAAGCTTTTCGATAAATGCCTTAAATACATACACATACATATGTAATAAATAGTGTGGCAGTGCCTAAGGGTTAAACAGGTGTTTGCCTTGCGATAAATAGAGCAGAGCCAAGCAAGAAGACGCAACACGAAGAAAAACACAAAATTTCACTTTCGTTTTGCTGTTTGCCTTTTCTTTTTCCCACACTCACACATACACCGATATGGAGAGAGGGAGGAAGGAATAGCGGTGTGAGTGGCTAACTGAAAATTCAAGCGCCCGCCGCCCCCCTCCAAAAATGCAGTTGCCGCTCGCGAATGCAAAATACAAAGCTTCGAGTTGAACTTTTTAAAATGGCGGGCGAAATGTGTGTGTGTGTGAGTGTGTGTGCGACGAGTGCAAAAGCAATGCATATCGATTCAAATTGCTGCAGATAAAAACAACAAACTGTTGAGATGCAGTCTGTAAATTTGGTGAAAGCTGTTACAGCGCACACTTTTGTAACGGTTAAAGCATACATGTATACCCATGTATAGTTGTGTGTGTGTTTGTGTGCAGCTTTGATAACTTGTGTTTTATATACATACATATATATGTATGTAGACAATGTCGTCATTCAAGTTCAATGTCAGACTAGAAGCTGAAAAAGCTTCTCACTTCGTTTTCATGTGTGCTTCAATATTATTTGCCAAAATAATGCGTGGGTTTAGCCACGTCGGCCATATTGAAAATTGTCTTGCCTCACACCCCTACCATTTCCACGTTGCCATCATCAAATTGAAGTTTGAGGCTGTTTGCATAACCCAACGAAATAGCGCCAGACTAGTGGTTGGGGCTGCCAGTGAAAGTGTCCATAGAGCAAGTGGCAACCCCATTCATGTACAGTTAAATGCAATAGATACCTATACAGGCGCACTTTTGGCAATGTGTGTCCTTCAATCAATTTTATTGGAATACAAAACATATTCAAGAACACACACACTTACATCCATTACAGCACTTGCACATGCCTGTGCGGCAATAGCTTAAACGAAGAAATTGCCCGTGTGACCTTTCTACCAAAACATAAACACAGGCTTCCTCTCTGAACACAGATGGTTGTCTCGCTCGCACAGCGCCCGCTCTTGCAAATTGACATAGCATATGCTCAGGCGCCATTACAGCATAATGCACATACATATACATGCAGTACATATAATTGTATGCTTTTATATGCATGTGTGTGTCTGTGTGTGTTGTTATGGCTCCAAAAAAAAAACTTCCTTGAGCAACTTTTGGATAAAATGGCGCGCGAGCTGCAGTCGCGTGGGCGTGCAGAAATTTCTGCAGCTGTTCTGGAACATGCAAGCGAAGTCGAGGCTCTTGGCGTTGCCACCCCCCACCCACGAAGCAAAACCAAACACACACAAACACATACACTAACAGATCCCATGTTTGCGCTCACCTTATCGCACAATTGCAGCTGATGCGGCGCTTTATGGATTTGCCTATCAGCGACAAGTCGTTCGCGGTTGTTCAATTTGTTGTTTTATCGTTGTTGGCGTTTTTTTTCGATTTCCTGTTGCTGTTGGTGTTCGTTGAGTGATTTTTCCAAAATTGTTACACATTAAAAAAGAGTTTTGATTATTTGCGCTCCGTTTGGGTTGTGAACTTCACTAACGGCCGTCGGCTGTTGCTATTTGTATAACTGTTATTTCTTTTAATTGCCCCGTTTTATTTGTTGTTGCTGTCTCGATTGTACAATTTTTAACTCGATTATTTCAAAGCTTATTGCTGAAAATTGTTGCCATTGCCATTGCCGCAACGCAATTTCTTTTGCTGCTGCTGTTTTTGTTGTTGGTGTTGCCAGATCGTTACCGGGATAAAGTAACTTTTACTCTCCGCAGTTTGACGGCTCTATCTCTCTCTCACGCACACACACACTCACTCACACTATGGCAACAAACTTGCGAATTTCTTTTCATTTATTTTTTGTTGTTTATTTGTCTTAACAACAATTTTGTAGCTGCTGACGTTTTTTATACACTTTTTTTTGCAAGCTTTTATGTGCATATGCATGTGTGCGTGTGTGTGCGAGCGAGGCAACGATTTTGTGTGTGCGAAACGACAACGACGGTCGCTCGTTTCTGCTTACCAACACCAGCGCAGCTGGCTAACCGCTCTGCCGCTGCTGCTAATTGTTGTTATTTCTTTTTTTCTTCTCTTGTTTTTTCTTTTTGTATTTGTTATTGCGGCGACGCGCTAACTTTTATGCCATACAGTTGAGGAAAAAGCTTTTCTCAACAATGCGGCGCGCAGTCATGCATTGAAAAAAAAAACACATCGTACACACACGTATTGAAATACATACACACATATGCGTGTGGCAGCAGCAGTAGCAGCAGCAGCAGCTTGCTGCAAAATGAAAGCAGCAACAAAAACAACAACTTACGACGCAAAACAGCAACAGAATTTCCCTGTTTTATTTATTTTCGAAATGCCCCCCGTCCGACACACACATGCCCGCTCAGGAAATTACACAGTTAATCGAACGCGTTTAGCCTTTGGCTATGGCCGATTATTGTTTTGTGTTATTTTCGAGATCAAAATACGAAATCAAAATCAAGCGACTTAGCGAACGCGCGGTTTGCCCGTTTGAAGTTGAATAAATACACATATCTGCTCCAAGTATTCGCAAACCATGCACTCTTCATTGTGTTTGTGTGTATCTGTGTGTGCTTGCCGAGAGCGGCGGCGCGTGAGCGAAACCAACAGCAGAGTAAGAGAGAGAGAGAGAGACCAGAACAGTGCGTACAATTTGTATGCGTATGTGCGACAAAATCATAACATTCGCGAGTCAAGGGCAACTTTCATGTAACGGTTGTTTCTAGCAACAGCCTGACAGCACTTGTCGCTTTAATGTACATACAGTAAACGCTCTATTAAAGGACAGCTTGCTTGAACGACAATCCTTTTAGCTCGACTATTCATTGTAGCCTTAATTTGCACTTATAATTCAATTGGACTAACAAAATAGAACATTAATAAATTCATTTTTATGTTTTCTAAAATTATTGTTATTTCTTGAAGCGGACATCCACTGTACTTATGCAGTATAGTGTATATTAACAGACCACATTTAAGGTTCCCATCTATATATTTTAATCGGACAAGTAGTATTAAGAAAAGCGTATATGTACAGTGAGGGCTCAACCGATGGACGGACTTGCGAGGTAACTTTTGAGCGGACAACTTCTTATGTGTAACCATGACTGTTCGCTCATAAGGGATTTCACTGTACTTACTCTTCTAAGGGACATCTCTCTCGGACGGACAACTCTTAACCTTACTTTAGCAACAAATGACAGTTTTCACTGTACTTACACAGACATATTTGAGCAGCATTAATACATACATACCAACATTTGCATGGCCAATTTATTTTTGAATCGAAAACTTGGATAAATGTGCAAAAGTAATAATATGATGGGCTGTTTCGAACGCGTTCATTAAATTGGGATTAATTAATATTTGGGATTATATGCTGGGCTATATAAAACATGCGCGCGCTATTTCTGCTTCTCATCCGGTTTATCTGCAGCTGCGGCGCTCTCCTCTTTGGCGGGCTCCGCATCGGTTTTCTTGTCGGCCACGGGGGTGTCCTTGGCGACGGGGGCGGCGGCGATGGGGGTAACTTCATCGCCCGCCATAGTAGCGCCCGCCGGCAGACTTTTCTCCAGGGCACGGACAAACTCCTCGAGATTGCCCGAATAGGCGGCAGCGACTGCCTCATGGGACAGCTCGAATTGCTTGACCACCGGACCAAGCTGGGCCGATTGGAGGGCATTGGAGAATTGGGCAAGGGCCTGCTGGAATTGGGGCG